CTTGTGTGCCTTATCATGTTTGCCTTTGTGAATATGTGTGGTGTGCTTTATCATAACATCATGCCATTGCATGCATCCTGCATAAACACTGACCCATTTCAAAGACAAGAGGGTTTCATCTTTGCTCTGTTTTGTAGGACATTATGATGCCTGTGCGAAGGAACACTATCCGGCTCAACTTTGTTCACCCACCTGATTTGCTTAAAGAATTGGTTGACCGAATTCCAAATATTGCTTCCTTCATCCAGAGGCATGGTTCTCTTCTCGGTTTAGTCACTTCAAAGTGGGACCAACAATTGATGAGTGTCTTGACCTAGTTTTATGATCCCTTGTATAATTGCTTCACCTTTCAAGACTTCCAGCTGGTCCCTACCCTGGAAGAATTCTCTTATTTGCTTGGTATCCCTATCTTGGATCAGACTCCCTTCACTGGTTGGGAAAAGACTCTTAGGCTTGAGGAGATTGCTGCAGCCCTTCCCTTGACCAACAAGGAGGTAATGGACAACTGGGTGACTAGAAGTGGAGTTAAGGGCTTCTTGGCCAAGTCTCTGACTGGTAAAGCTAACAGTTTCTGGAATGACTTAGGCTTCAGGGCGTATGAAGACATTCTGGCTCTCTTAATCTATGGTCTAGTTTTGTTTCCTAATCCTGATGACTTCATTAACGTCAATGCCATAAGGATCTTCATGTCTCGGAACCCTGTGCCCACTCTCTTGGGTGATATCCTGCAACAACTCTATGCTCGTACTGCCCGAAGACGAGGAACTCTGTGGTGTTGTACTCCTTTGTTAGTGAGGTGGTTTATTTCTTACCTCCCTAAGTTCGTGCTGAAGAATAAAGAAGGAAGAGGCTGGGCTCATAGGTTAATGTCTCTCACTGATAATGACATCATTTGGACTCTCAGGGGTTTGGATGAGGTAGCTGTTATTGATCGTTGCAGAGAATATCCTAATGTTCCTTTGATTGGTACTCAAGGAGGAATCTCTTATAATCCATGTCTAGCTCTCCGTCAGTTTGGAAGAGCCAGAAGAGCAGGGCCTCATGAGATGTTGGTGCCTCACATCAGTTTTGAGTTTCAGGTAGATAGTGATGAGCTGCGTCGTAGATTCATCAAGGCTTGGGACAGAATTCACAAAGCTGGCCCACAGGAGTTGGGACCAAAGACTTCTCTACCTATGGAATCCTATTACAGATGGGTCCGCATTCGTGCTCAGAAGTTAGGTATGCCATACGAAGCTGTCAGACCCGTCATTCTTGAATTTCCTGATAGAGACGGGGTTCCTCCAACTGTTCTCCCTCCTCAGATACCTACTGATGTTGATACACTAAAGAGGTCTTGGGCGCAACTACAGGAAGAACGGGATTCTAATCGGGAAAAGTTCAATGAACAAGAACAGAAAATCCAGAAGCTGATAAAGCAGTTGGAGAACGAGCGGGTCCTGAATGACTACATCCGTACTGAGAAGAGGAGGCCATGGGAGCACTGATGGGTGTTATACCCCAAAATTTGCCCTCCCATATTCCTCAAGAAATTGCCAAGCCAAGCTAGAAAATTCCCCAAGGGTTGTGCATTCAACTGTCTCCTACACAGTCAAAACTAGGGTTTAAGTTCTGATCAAGAAAAGGAAGTTTTCAAAGGCCCAATCAAGTCTCATATGCTTACAAACATGGTCAAGCATCCCCATATCAAGTTTCAAGACATTCAGCTCAAGATTGCACAGTCAAAACCCTAAATTGCACTACAGTCAACTGTAGGGGCAAAATGGTCATTTGGCAGTCAAAAGTTCAAATTTTTGGTCAACCTATCATTTTGAAGCCACAAACATCATTTGATCAATGCTTGATCATGATTCTCAAAATTTGGCTCAGAAATCATCAAAGATGCAAAAGTTGCTATATTTGGACAGTTGAAAAAGTCAACTGAAATTGACCAGGGCATAACTTTCACATGGATTATCAGAAAAATTCCATCCAAAGCTCATTTTGAAGAGAAAGACATTTCCTACAACTCATCTTCATACTTCAAGTCCAAGAAATGCTCTCACAAAAAGTTATCAATTTCAACATTATAGGTCATTTTCAAAAGTCAACAAAAAGGGACTTTAAGTCAAAGGCCATAACTTGAGATTGGTAGATTAAAATGACATGGGACCAAAGACATTGGTTAAAGGACTCAAAGACCTTTCCAAAATGTCCAAGAACATGTGAAAAGCTTAAAAATTGAGCAAGTTATGCCTTGTAGAAGTTGGGAAATTTTTGTGAAATGGCAAAAGTCAACTATCCTTGAAAATCCAATTTTTGACAAAAGGGCCCCATTTTTCTCACTTTGTCCATCCTTGTCATGCCACACACGTGGCCCATGGTTGATTTCAAGACCAAATGTTGACTTTTTTATTTTATTTAATTTTTGATGATTTAATTCATTTTAATTCATTGAAAATTCAAATAAAATTTGAAAATCAATGAAATGGTGTCATATGAACTTGGACAAGTTCTATGTATCATGAACCAACTCAAAAATCAGGCCAAGGTTCATTTACACACTAGGTCTAGGTTTTGGCTAGAAATTAGGAAAAAATGGTTAATGGACAAACCCTAATGCCAATTCTTTCTCAAGCATGGATTAAGGTCAAATAGCAAGCCAAGTCTATTCCATAAGGATCATTGAGTCAAACCCTAACCCTAGTGCAGCAAAAAACTCGTTCAAAAGGCCATTGGACATTTGAAAATTTGGACATATATTGCAAATCTGAAATCAGTGCTAGGCATCTTTTCAAGCCAAAATTTTTGTACCAATAGCTTCCTGAGATAATTCTGAACGATTTTCAATTCATAACCTCAATCAAAGCTCCTTAAACTGGTAGTTACAAGTGAAACTGTACAGCAAATTTTTTGAATTCGTGTTCTTGATTCTAAGCCTCTTTTTGCATTTTTAATTACGTATTCATACTCATGATGAAGTTTCCAAGCTGTTCATTATATTTAATTGCATTTTTGTTCATCCTACGCGAATCTGCCATGCCCACATTCTAGGGTTTTCAAGTTTTGATTTTGGGGTTTTCACCATACTGCAAAATTGGCCCTCAAGACCATGACCATTGCATTCCTGGCATCTGGACGAAGAGAATGAGATGCTCGCGCCTAATTTATATTAGGAAACGAGCTATTCGCTATTTTTTTGTAGCTTATCTAATGCAGCGCTTCAAAACCGTTGCCAATGTATTTTGTTTACAGGGACATGAGGAAGATGAAGATGTGGCACGCTGTCATTTGTCCATTCAAAATTCGCGCGCGTGTTAGACCTTATGCGTTAGTTTTATTTTATATTGTTTATTAACTATATTATGTTAAATGAATTCAAATGGCTCAGCTGGCCAAGACACGCGCATGTGACCACAATGACCTGGGTTCAAGTCCCAGGTCTTGCAATTTCTCATATTATTTTTCATTTCAAGGTTCCATGCAGCGCCCACATAAGGACTCACCATGCACATTCAAGAGGCATTATCCACGTGTCCCAGGGGACCTGATCAAGGGTCCAGCTTGAAGGTATACCATGAGGACAAGTCAACAGGCGTGCATATGATTTCAAAAGTCCACAAATTGCCAGCAAATGGGCCAGGCTTTTCAGGCTTGCACCTCCAGATTTCAAATCCACACCTCCCTGGTTATATCTTTTTTTTTCTTTTTTCTAATTTTCTTTATATTCTATTATTTTTTGTGTTTTATTTTCTGATTTAATTAATTCTTACAAAAATGCAAAAAACATTAAAAATACAGAAAGGACAAAAAAAATATAATTAATTTTGATTCTTTTTTTTAATAAATTAAAATATAACTCATTTAGTTTAATTAGGTCTTAGTTTTAATTTTAATTCTTTTTTCATAATAAAAATCCAAAAAATGTAGAATTAGGTTAATTATTAATTTTTATATCCTTTTTAATTTTTTCCTTTTTTCTCACAATATTATTATCTATTATTTATTTTCTATAAATCAAAAATTGTACATAAATTAGTTTAGAATTTAATTAGGTTAGAAATTAAATCTTTTTTTCATAATAAACTTAAAAAATGATAGAACTAGGACTTTAATTTTAATTAACTTTTCTCCTTTTTCTTTTAAACCTAAAAAACACAAAAACATTATTTTTCATTTAATTTTTAATTTCCTTGATTAATTTTAATTATTTGTAAGAGGGTCCAATGCCCTAATTTTGTTTAGTTTTTATTTCGCGCATTTGTTTTATATTGTTTAAATACCTCTGTATATGCCCCAAAGCCTTGTAATAAGTTTAGATTTATTTCTCGCACTTTTTATTTTATTCGCTTTATTTTCAGTCAAATCGGGTTCGGTTTTTTTGGCGATGTGGACCCGCGCCAGTTGTAATAGTTAGATTTATTTTCTCGCAAATATAACTGTTAATAAATATGCATGAAAGAATGAATGCCCGAAAATAAAATGGAATCGTTAGATCACAAATACATGACAAGACAAACAATAAACTGAAAATGACACACAATTCACACACCACCCCTAGGGTACGCCTCACTATTGCCTTTCGAAAGGTGGTCATAGAGTAGAAAACGTCTTAGTAAGTCCTCATGGTCCGGGAACCTGGCATGAGGGTAGCTTCTAAGGTGTCTTCCCATTGCTCCGGTGATCACCCCGTCCCTAAAACTCGAATTGACCCGAACACCTCCAACGGTGGTGCTACCTACCTCTCAATGGTGGGATGGCACTACTTCAAAGGACATTTACACAGACGAATTCCTTAGGGTAGGTAGGTTCTCAAGGGTACTTGCTCTAATTTCAAACAAAACAAAAACTCTTTTCACACCAACACACTTTCAAAAACTTTCAAAACAAACTTTTCAAACACTCTGACGTACGAGTTGAACTGAAACTTTTCAAAGAATATTTTTGAAACCCACATTGAAAAGCAAGCAAACAATTTTTGAAAACACATTGAGCAAGTACCTAAGAGCCCATGGATAACCATGGATAGAAAGGGTGCTAACACCTTCCCTTTCTATAACCTACCTCCCGAACCGAGAGCAATCTCTTTAAGGAATTTTTCTGTGCTTTTGTCCTTTCCTATTGGAGAAAATAAAAGACGGTGGCGACTCTTGCTTACCGCGACATTTCGCGAACCAGCGTTAAACAGTCAGTTCCAGATCCACCGATCACAGAACTGGCGACTCTGCTGGGGAAAAAAACTTAAAGTGAGGTGTACCTTAGGGCTAGTTACAACTGTGTTTTCAATTGTTTCCCTTGTATGCTTTAAATTGTGGGACCGTCTTGGGAGTTCTATAGATCCTAACCCGGATCTGGGGGATACCTCTTTAGAAAGTAGCAACAAGGCTGTGAGGGAACTGTGCGGGGTATACCGACATGGTTGAAGCAGTCTGCTACGTTGATGTGGCATTTTGGTGTGTACCGGTAACCCTTGAGTCAGTCAAGGAGAGTACGGGGCCTCCATGTGGTGTCATGAAGCATCAACAGACCTTAGGAACCTTAATTGAACCATCTTGGCCTCTTTAGGGTAGTGAGATAACTGACTTTGGTGCAGTCCGAGGTTGGTTGATACTCGATACTACACTCAATTGAGGGTTGCTTTCCTGGAATATTTCGGTCGCCAGTTCAGTGGCTAAATCGAAACGATGAACAATGAAAGTAATCCCGTGATATTGGGAACCTTAGAACCCGGTTACTTTGATTAGGACAGGATGAACCCACCAACTTCAAGAGGGTACTACCCAGACCTCATGCTGGCCTTAAACCTTAAGGGCCTGTCTTGTGTGCCTTGTGTGCCTTACATGTTTGTCTTTGTAAATATCTGTGTTTAATCATGGCATCATGACATCATCCAGCATCATATGCATTAACTAACCATTTCAGGGGTTCGAATTTTCATCTTTGTTCTTGTTTTGTAGGACATGGAAACTGTTCGTAGAAAGACAATTCCAATCAGTCTTGTAAGGATCTCTCCTCAGCTTAAGGAGCTTATATCCAGGATTCCCGAGAACTCTTCTTTCAGTGAAAGGCATGGAAGCCTCATCAGCTTGGTCAACACCAACATTGAGGAAGATATGATAAAAGTCCTGTTCCAATTCTTTGACCCTCTGCATCACTGTTTCACTTTCTTGGACTATCAGTTGGTACCTACATTGGAGGAGTTCTCCCGACTCCTGAAGATCCCTATCCTTGATCAGCTACCCTTCAACGGTACAGAAAAGGAACCTAAGCTTGAAGAGATTGCTAAAGCCTTGCACCTGCAGTCATCTGACCTCAAGGGACATTGGGAAGTTAGAAGTGGTATCAAAGGGTTCTTAGCCAGGTTTCTGTTTGAAAAGGCCTATGATTGTTGGAACTCCCTTGACTTGCAAGCTTTTGAAGAAGTTGTGGCCCTCCTTGTTTATGGTTTGGTGTTGTTCCCTAACCCAGACCAGCTCATTGATATCAGTGCCGTCCAGATCTTTATGTCCAGGAATCCTATACCTACGTTGCTGGGGGACCTCCTTCACTCATGTTACACTCGAACCATGAGAAAAAGAGGTGTCCTTATGTGTTGCACTCCTCTCCTGGGAAAGTGGTTTATTTCGCACCTTCCACAATCAGTCCTGAAGAACGAACAGGGTTTGAGATGGTCACAACGGTTGATGACTCTTACACATGCAGATATACATTGGTGCCCTAGGTCCAGAGAAGATGTCACTATCATTGATCGTTGCGGGGAGTATCCTAATGTTCCTTTACTTGGAATCAGAGGGGGTATTACTTATAGTCCATGCCTGGCTTGGAGACAATTTGGTTATGCTCGGAGAGATGGTCCTCATGACATGTTGATTCCTGACATAGTTTTTGACTTCGACAACGATACTCAAGGACTTCGCCAGAGGTTTATCAGAGCTTGGAGGATGCCTAGTAGGATAGACAGCAAGACACTGGGGCACAGGAACTCCATCCCTTTGGAGCCTTACCTCAAGTGGGTACGAGCCCGTTCTCAGAAGTTAGTAATGCCTTATCCTCACATGCTTCCAGTAATCAAAGAGCCTGCCTTGGAAGGAGAGGTGTCTCATGTTATTCAGCACCCTGATATGCCCACATCCTGGGAAGAGATGCAGAAGAGTTGGATCCAGCTTAAAGAAGAAAGGAATTCTCTTGAGACTAGTTTGCATGCCAGTGAAAAGAAGGTTTTGGAGCTCACTCGCCTGTTGCACGAGGAAAGGAATCTCAACACTTACATAGCTCCAGAGAAGATGCGCAACATATTTTGGATGTGACTTGATCTTTTTGTACTTTTGCCCATGAGGCTTTGATGTATTAAAACAATGATTTTCTTAATAATAAAGTGTGTTCCTTTTGGTCTACAACAAATTTGAATTTTCGAACTCTTGAATGCATTGCATAAACACATATCATTCATCATGTGCATCATAAATACTCTTCTTTTCAGGTTGTTTACCGTTCTTCGCTGTTTATTTCAGCATCATGAACCCTCCTGAATCATCAACCGATGCGGCTATCAAGGCTCTTCAGGCGCAGAACGTCCAGTTTCAGGCGCAAAACGCCCAATTTCAGGAGCTGATCAAGGGCTTGTCTCAGGGTCAACAAGAGTTAAAGACCATGCTGTTGAAGAAGACTAAGAAGAAGAGGAGGACTGTGTTATTTAACACTGGGCGCAGACTCGGGAACACTTTGGTTGTTGAAGCTGAAAGGACTCCTCCATCTGTGACAGAAGGTAGTCACCATGAAAGGGAGGTCACTACTCCTGTGGGCTCTGATACTGAAACAGACTTCAACGACGACCAGTACCCTCCTGCTGAAGACCGGTACAAACAGCTGGAAGACAGATTAAAGGCTGTGGAAGTTCAACGGGTACCTGGATTGGATTTCGGAGACTTGGGGTTATCTACTGGAGTGGTGATCCCGCACAAGTTCAAAACACCTGCCTTCGTGAAGTATGATGGGGCTTCCTGTCCCAAGATGCACCTCCGTTCTTATGTAAGGAAGATCCAGCCTTACACAGCAGACAAGAACCTTTGGATCCACTTCTTCCAGGAGAGTCTTTCAGGGACTCACCTCGATTGGTTCTATCAGCTAGATGGAATCAGCATTCGTAACTGGGAGGATCTGGCCACTGCTTTTTACAAGCAGTATCAGTATAATGCCGACCTCGCTCCTACGCGTACCCAACTCCAGGGTATGTCGCTAGGGTCGGGTGAAGGTTTTAAGGAGTATGCTCAGAAATGGAGAGACCTGGCTGGCAGGGTGCAGCCACCATTGACGGATCGGGAGCTGGTAGATATGTTCTTGGGGACCCTATCTGGTCCATTTTTCAACCATCTCATCGGTAATTCCTCTGCTGGGTTTACCGATCTAATCCTGACTGGTGAAAGGATTGAGGCCGGTATAAAATCGGGGAAGATACAGAAAGTTGCCTCCTCCAGTACTGAGAAGAAGCCCTTCAAAAAGGAGGCTGGTGCTGTATATAGCTCCCGGAGAACAGAGCGACCTGAACACCGCCAATCTGTCAGTGCGGTAATGATTGCCAAACCTGCTGCCGCTCCTCGGCCAACTAATCCTCAGAAGTTTGAAAGACCCCGGAGGGAGTTTACCCGGTTAAGCATGACCTTATCACAAATCCTGCCACAGTTGCTATCCACCAATTTAGTGACTGTCAAGGAGGCTCCAAAGTTTCCCAACACTGCATCTCCCAAGTTCAATCCAAATGCTCGCTGTGCTTATCACTCTGATAGCCCGGGGCATAACACAGATGACTGTTGGGCCCTAAGGAATAAGGTTCAAGATCTCATTGATGCAAAGGAGATACAGTTTGAGGCGCCCGAGAAGCCGAATGTTGTAAATGCTCCCATGCCCCAGCATGGAGTGAACGCTGTTGAGGAGAGTTTGTATGTAGCTTCGGTGGATGATGTTGCTACTCCGTTGCTGATGGTCAAGAGGAATCTGTTGCTAGCCGGTTTATTTCCGGGATGTAGCGAAAGTTGCCCTCTATGTGTTGCTTCCCCTGCTGGTTGTTCTCTGTTGAAGTCAGGCATCCAAAACCTGATAGATAATAGAGAGATTTTGTTTGAAAAGACTGTTGTTCCTGCTGCTCCTGTTGAAGAAGTGTCAATCGTTACCATCTTCAACAACTATTCCGAGGCTCCTTCAAAGAAGCCTATACAAGTTTTGTCAGTTCACAAGAATGTTCCCATCACCATTACTGTGCCGGGGCCTATACCCTACAAATCTGATAAGGCTGTCCCATGGCACTATGGGGCAGATGTTTATGTTCTGGGTGTGAAGCAAGAGTGCAACATTGATACTGGTGTCTCCAACATCACCGGGCCTGCTAAGGTCACTCGTAGTGGAAGACTGTTCTCGCCAGACATTGCTCCTCCAGCAATTCATAGGCCTTTGATCTTCACACCTGCCAGAGTGCCTGTTTCTCCTTCTGACCAAGTATCCACCCCTGCTGCTGAGTCATCTGATACTCGGGGCAAGGGAACTGCTGCTGATGTGCCTGCCAGGACGGAGGCACCAAAGACCATTGTTGAGGCTTCCAAGCAGGAAATGGAAGAAATTCTCAAGATAATAAAGAAAAGTGATTTCAATGTTGTGGAACAGCTGGGGCACACCCCCTCTAAAATCTCTATGTTGTCACTGCTGCTGTGTTCAGAGGCCCATGCAAAGGCTCTGATTGCTTTCTTAAAGACTGCCCACGTACCCCAAGATACGACTGCTGACCAGTTCACCGATTGTGTGGCCAACCTAACTGCTGATAATGGCCTGGGTTTCTCTGATGCCGATCTGACAGCAAAGGGGAAGAACCATAATGATGCCCTGCATGTCTCCATTGAATGCAGGGGCACTACTCTTGCTCATGTGCTGGTTGACACAGGTTCTTCATTAAATGTGCTGCCTAAGAAGGCTCTGGATAGGCTGGATTGTGAAGGTCTAGAGCTCAAACCAAGTAGCATTGTTGTCCGGGCCTTTGACGGGTCCAAAAGAATGGTGCATGGTGAAGTGGACATCCCAATCAGGGTTGGGTCACAAGTATTTGATTCAAAATTTTATGTGATGGACATCCATCCGTCCTATTCTTGTTTGCTGGGTCGCCCATGGATCCACAAGGCTGGAGCGGTGACCTCCACATTGCATCAGAAGCTCAAGTACCCGGTCAGGGGGAGGATCGTAACAGTGCAAGGGGAGGAAGAATACATGGTCAGCCACCTCAACTCTTTCAGATACGTGGAAATGGATGGGGAGTTCATTGAAACCCCCTTTCAACATTTTGAGGAGGTACCACCAACCTTGGCAACAGCAGAAGATGAAGAGGTTTCTCCTATGAAGATGGCCTCCTTAAAGGACGCCCGGGCTGTGATCGAAAAAGGCGAATGTGCAAACTGGGGCAAGCTCCCTGATCTTACTCCTAAGACTAACAAGTTTGGGCTGGGTTTCACCACGGAAGCTCAGAAAGCAGTGCGCAAGGCAAGAATTGGAAGACCTCCGTTGCTCATCACTCAGCATGGAGTGAATGCTATTGGAGAGGAAGATGAAGTGGGAGAGTCAGAGTTCGATAGCTGGATCTACCCAACGGCCGACGGTGGATTGACCAATTGGACTGCTAAAGATTTTACTCCCATAACTTTTGTTCCCCAGTAATGAATTTCTTTGTTTTTGATTTGTAATAAACAATAATTTGAGACTATATGGCCCGGTGTCTTACCCGGGGCACCGTGGTTTTATTTATGAGGGCTTTTTGTTTGTCACTATCATATATCATGAATAAAAGCATTGGACGTTTTTCACAATTCAAATTTTGCGCTCCTTTTCTTTCCTTTCTTTACATATTGCAAAACAGCTGTATTTACACACACACTCACTCATACAGGTTTCAATCCACTCTGGATCTCACTGGTAACGACTCTGCTACTGCCGGTTACGACTTCGAAAATCCGATCAACTTGGCCGCAGACGAAGGCGAAGATGATTGCGAAGTGCCTGGTGAACTTGCAAGATTGTTACAACAGGAAGAGAGGGCAATTCAACCCCATGAAGAGCCAGTGGAAATAATAAACTTGGGTACTGAGGAAGACAAGAAAGAGGTGAAGATTGGCGCCAACCTAGAACTCAGCGTGAAGCAACGGTTGACTCAGATGCTGCAGGATTATAAAGAAATCTTTGCCTGGTCCTACGAAGATATGCCCGGATTAGATACCGACATTGTGGTCCATCATTTACCAACTAAAGAAGATTTTCCTCCGGTTAAGCAAAAGGTTCGTCGGATGCGTCCAGAGATGTCCGAGAAGATTAAAGCCGAGGTTATGAAGCAGTTTGATGCCGGGTTTCTTGCAGTAACTTCTTACCCTCAGTGGGTTGCTAATGTGGTGCCGGTACCTAAGAAGGACGGCAAGGTCAGGATGTGTGTTGATTACAGGGATCTGAACAGGGCCAGCCCCAAGGATGACTTCCCTCTACCCCACATTGATGTCCTTGTTGATAATACAGCTCAGCATAAAGTGTTCTCTTTCATGGATGGTTTTTCAGGCTACAATCAGATCAAGATGGCACCTGAAGACATGGAAAAGACTACCTTTGTTACTCAGTGGGGCACCTTCTGTTACAAGGTCATGCCGTTCGGGTTAAAGAATGCTGGGGCAACCTACCAACGTGCCATGGTTACCTTATTTCATGATATGATCCATCATGAGATAGAAGTGTATGTGGACGACATGATCGCTAGGTCCCAGACTGAGGAAGAGCACCTAGATCATCTACAGAAGTTGTTCGACCGGTTGAAACTGTACAAGCTGAGATTGAACCCGAACAAGTGTACCTTCGGGGTAAGATCTGGGAAGTTGCTAGGCTTCGTGGTCAGTGACAAGGGAATTCAAGTGGACCCTGCTAAGGTCAAAGCCATTCAAGAGATGCCAGTTCCTAAGACAGAGAAGGAAGTCAGAGGCTTTCTAGGACGCCTGAATTACATTGCTCGCTTCATCTCTCATCTGACTGCCACCTGTGAGCCCATCTTCAAGCTGTTGAAGAAAGATCAGGTAGTACGTTGGAACGATGAATGTCAGGCTGCTTTTGACAGAATCAAAGAATATCTCCAAGAACCACCCATCCTTATGCCACCAGTTGAAGGGAGACCTTTGATACTTTACCTGACAGTGCTTGACAACGCAATGGGGTGTGTGCTGGGGCAGCATGACGAGTCTGGCCGAAAAGAGCATGCCATTTATTACCTTAGCAAAAAGTTTACCGACTGTGAGACCCG